AATCCATTCTTTAAAACAATTGAGTAGTATGTTAAAAAAGTCCATTCTTTACTTAAAACAATTGAGTAGTATGTTAAAAATCCATTCTTTACTTAAAACAATTATCTATTATGTTAAAAATCCATTCTTTACTTAAAACAATTAAGTAGTATGTTAAAAATCCATTCTTTACTTAAAACAATTAAGTAGTATGTTAAAAATCCATTCTTCACTTAAAACAATTAAGTAGTATGTTAAAAATCCATTCTTTACTTAAAACAATTAAGTAGTATGTTAAAAATCCATTCTTTACTTTAAAACAATTAAGTAGTATGTTAAAAATCCATTCTTTACTTCAAACAATTAAGTAGTACGTTAAAAATCCATTCTTTATTCAACTAACTAAATTTATGCTAAATCCAAGAAAAACATTCCTTCTCAAAAAAAGAAAATGAAAAAAGTTACATTTAGCAAACAATAAGTTTGTTCTGTTCCTGTAGTGATAGATTAAATTCTGTCTCATTCCTAATTACTAATTACTAATTTATTTATTAATACTAGTAACTATTTAATTAGTTTTTAATTTATTCCTGAGAATGTGAAATTTATGTTAAATCTTGGGCTTTGTATTATATTCTTGCACTAGTGGGGGAAAAGAAATATAATATCACCCTGTAATTTAATTAGTTAATCACTCCCATGTGCTGAAAATTGGATTGGAATGAGAAAAACATTCCAGGCAGTGCATTGTTAAAGTATATTGTACTATTAGGCAGATTTTCGTAACTTGTCACTTAGCCTTATCCGTAGTATTTCGAACAATTACTCCACAAAAAAAACCGTATCCCCGTATGGTAGTCACATGGGCTTTCGATCCACATCTTGTCCAGTTGTTACTTCACACTTTAAGTTAATCGAAAAAAAATTTAATCTTTTTTTTTCGAAATACAGGACTATTGGACAATGGCGACTTCGAGATGGCGCCCGCCAAATCCGATCTCAATGGCACAATTGTGCTCAAGCCACACGCAATACCGAAGTGGCAGATTTCCGGCTTTGTGGAGTACATAAAAGCCGGGCAAAAGCAAGGCGACATGCTCTTGGTTGTTCCGGAAGGTTACGCGGCAGTTAGGCTCGGGAACGAGGCTTCCGTGAAGCAATACGTAAACGTGACGAAAGGGATGTATTATTCGATCACGTTTAGTGCGGCAAGAACTTGTGCTCAGGAGGAGATGGTGAACGTTTCGGTGGCACCCGATTTCGGCGTGCTGCCTATTCAGACTCTGTACAGTAGCAATGGATGGGATTCGTACGCGTGGGCTTTTCGAACGAGCTCTAGTGTGGCGGAGATTCTGATTCATAATCCGGGCGTGGAGGAGGATCCGGCTTGCGGGCCCCTCATTGACGCAATCGCTATTCGGGCCTTGTATCCACCTAGGCCAACCAGGGGTAAGTTTGTCATTTAATATTCATCTCTTATGCCTTGTTCGGTTGAAAATCTTAGTTAAAATCATTGAACTTCCCTCCAATAACTTTTCGGGCCGGCCGGCAATTGTGTAAAAAATGGCTCTAATCTTGACTTATTGAGAGCTTATTTATAGATTAATAAGATTAGCTGTGATTAATTAAATAATTGGACTTTATTGGATGTTTGGTTAGTCCAATATTTTTTTGGCCCGGCCCGGCCCGAAAATGGCTATAATTTTGGCTTATTTGGGAGATTGTTTACGGTCCAAGAAAATAGTTGGGTTTTTTATGAGATTATTTAATCTTGATCTTGACTAATCCTATCTGAGGAACCAAACGAGGTTTGATTATCTTGAAGTAGTTTTTACGGTTTTGAGTTATCAAATTTGGGGTAGACAACTAGACATTCATTAAGAAAGTAACTTCTTGGATTGTGCTTTTTTACTACCAAGTAATTTAGTTGCTGCGAAACATGTGATCCGAGTCTGATGTATTATGTGTCGTAGACAAAGATTGCGTAACGAAACTTAATTAATTAGCTAAATTTAGACACTAATTAGCTCAACTTTTATTCATCTCAACTTATTTATTTTTTTTATTTTTTTTTTCGCTTAAAAAATTCAAATTCCGTTACAAATTATACGCAGATAATCTCCTAAAAAACGGGGACTTTGAAGAAGGCGCGTACATACTACCCAAGACAAGCTGGGGCGTCCTCATCCCCCCAAACATCGAGGACGACAACTCACCGCTGCCAGCCTGGATGGTGGAGTCACTCAAAGCAGTCAAGTACATCGACCGGGCCCACTTCTCGGTGCCACACGGAGAACGAGCAATCGAGCTAGTTGGCGGGAAAGAGAGTGCCATCGCACAGGTGGCGAGGACGATAGCTGGCAAGACCTACCAGCTCACTTTCGCAGTGGGCGATGCCAGCAACTCCTGCGAGGGGTCCATGATCGTCGAGGCGTTTGCTGGCAGAGATACGGTCAAAGTCCCGTACGAGTCGAGGGGCAAAGGCGGGTATAAACGTGCGGTGCTCCGTTTCGTGGCCCCGACTAACCGGACCAGGATTATGTTCCTTAGCACTTACTACCACATGAGGAGCGACGACTATGCTTCGCTGTGTGGGCCCGTTGTTGACGATGTGAAGCTGCTCAGCGTTCGTAATCCGAGGAAGCTTGTCTGAAGAGAAAAGACCTCCGTTCGATGACTAATACTTAAGTAATATTGAACTGTGCCTCGTCTTTTTTTTTTTTTTTTTTTTTTTTTTTGTTTATTTGGGGAATTTTTCGGTTGCTATGAATACTGAGATATACCGACTTTGAATTGAAGATGTAACAGTATATATAGAGAAGTGTGATTTTCATATTGAGGTGTTATAATTAAGCCCCAATAAACGACCACCGTCGCTGTCATGATCGAGACCTTGCGGCTTGCATCGTGCGGTGCCGGTGACAGTAAGGAATGCAAATCGGTTTATAAAAAAAAAAAATATATATATAATATATATTTTTTTTTAAGCCCCACGATTGCTATAAAGAGTGTTGTTTTACTATTTTTGTTTTTTTAAATATATCCATTCATGGTTGAGCATAATTACACAAAATAAAAGCAATATATTTGTCTTCAATAAAGTAATATTGTAAACCGCGAATTTCCAAATCTACGGAAAGTAAATAAATTACGAGACCGGAAAATAGCGAACAAATAAATGTATATAAAAAAAATGAAACTCTGTAACTAACTTTACTATTTACAATGTATATATTCTACACAAGTGCAGATAAGCAGATAGTTAAAAATCGCGGTTTAAAAACGCGTATTTGCTTTTATTTTAACAAACAAATGAAACCTCTATGCTTAAAAAAGTCGTTGAATTAAGCAAATATCAATGATAATTCATTAACATATGAGAAAAGTAATTGTAATTTACAAACTTTATAAAAAATATTATTGTATTCAATAAAAGATCAATCGGCTACAAATCGGATTTTTTCGTATACTTCGTCTTAATTGTTCGATTAGTAGTTTCTATTACGTTTTAAAATAATTTATTATTACGATTTATCATATTAAATACACGATATTACGTTTTATTTATGGGTGAAAATCGCACATATCAAATTAAATTAATATTTTTTGAATTAAAAAAAAAAGCAAAAAAAATCCATTTTTTTTAATGCATAGTAGGCCCGTAACTTGAAATATGTTATTCGGGTCGGGCCCAAAACGAGGCCCAATATACATTGTTCTAGAAGAAATTATATCCACATATATTTTCGAATTTCCAAAAAGAGCACCATGACGAAACACGTGATCGAACACGTGACGCCGCTCCAGCCCCTGATCCGACGGCTCAGATTGTCGCGTCAGCTTTAAGCTACTTGAATTTTTTGGCACAAATTCAAAAAGCCCTCACTCCGCAGTAAAACCTACGCTACTTTCCCGATATATATATACACACATATTCACAACTCAGGCTACAGAATATTACGCTTCACAATCTCTGCCGCGCTACGTGTGTGTGTTTTTCCATCTCGAACAGCGCAGCGAAAATCTAATGGTAAACCTCTTCGACTTGTTTATTCAATTGGATCTGTTTGTTAGATGTTTTTTTTTTGTGTGTTTCTGATGATATGATTTGATTTATTTGATTTTTGTTCGTTTGAATTTTTCAGGCGCTTCCGAATCAGCAGACTGTTGATTACCCCAACTTCAAGCTTGTAATCGTTGGCGATGGTGGCACTGGTAATTTTCGATTAATTTAATTTGAATCTGAAATTTTGGATATTTTTTGGGTCTGATTTAGAAAATATTACACGGATTTGATATTTGTTCGTCGTGATTTGGCGTTTTGGTTTGAAGGATCATCTTTTTTTCTCTTACTGTGTTTTACCCTAATTTTTTGAGCCTTTTGTAATTGTGATGGTGGTGTCTTTTTTTAGCTCTGCGTCGTTTTGACATTGTTGTGAATTTTGATTTGGTACCGGAGGCTATCAATCGTCTATGGGTTTAGGGTTTAGGTTTTTTTTGTATGACTTGGTTTTGTTCAACTTGGTATACTTCTTAATAATTGTTTAATGAATTCATACGATTTGGATATTTGATTTGATAGTGAGAATGCATATATGTCTGTCTGTCATCCTTTTTTTTTTTTTTTTTCTCGATACTAGTTGTGTTTTATACTATAATAAACAATACAGATGGTAGTACAAGACAATGGAGAAAGATTGCATATTTTGATCTTTGTTCAATTTTCTTACAGGAAAAACCACGTTTGTGAAGAGGCATCTCACTGGTGAATTCGAGAAGAAATATGAACGTAAGAGAATTTAATAATATTTTCATTTAGTACTATATTTCAGATTTTATATCTCGGAGGTTTTAAATATACTTATGATTTTACAGCTACTATTGGTGTGGAAGTTCATCCCCTGGATTTCTTCACAAACTGCGGGAAAATCAGATTCTATTGCTGGGATACAGCTGGTCAGGAGAAATTTGGTGGCCTTAGGGATGGATACTAGTAAGTGAATCGTATACCCGTCCGTTATATCTGAGATTCTGTGATTATACTGATCTGATTCATGCTATATCTGCATCAAGTGATTATGCATCTGCTAATCTCATTTCTTTTGCTGCGTTCGTAAAATGTGAAGTTTTTACAATCTCCTAAAATTTTAATTAGGATTTCAATTAGTTTGAAAATTTCCATTAGTACCGATTAATGCAAATTCTGAACTTGGTTTGGTTATGGTCGAATGTACTACTAAACATCATTTTCATCTGAGATTATTTTTTGGAAACACCTCCTGTTTTCCTATTTCGAATATGAAATACATACATTCCGGTTTAGATTGGATGTTGAGTCTACTTGTGGACCTAATTTGTATATAGAATTTCTACGGAAATCATTTTGTGAACATAACACCGATTTTGATCTTCTGCAGCATTCATGGGCAATGTGCGATCATTATGTTTGATGTAACAGCTCGATTGACCTACAAGAATGTTCCAACATGGCATCGTGATCTTTGCAGGTATTTGCTGTTTATTTGCTTTCTTTATTGTAGAATTTGATTTTAGCCTTAAGTACCGCAAATTTAATTCTTATTTTATGTGAATTAGGGTCTGTGAGAATATCCCGATTGTCCTTTGCGGGAACAAGGTTGATGTCAAAAACAGGCAGGTGAAGGCCAAGCAGGTCACTTTCCACAGGAAAAAGAACTTGCAGTATTATGAAATATCAGCCAAGAGCAATTACAACTTTGAAAAGCCGTTCTTGTATCTGGCTAGGAAACTTGCTGGGTATTTCCCTATATCTAATAATCTATCTTAAATATCTTTTTTCTATTATATTAATTAATAATCCATCCATAGTATTCCACCATAGATCTTTACATGTCGGGGTTTAACTTGCCTTTTTTCTTTCGTCTTACCAGTGATCCTTCATTGCACTTTGTCGAGTCTCCAGCTCTTGCGCCGCCAGAAGTCCAAATTGATTTGGCTGCACAGCAACAGTAACTCTCTCTCTCTCTCTCTTGAATTTCAATGTAAAAACTGAATTTATCATATTATCTTAAACTGGAATTGTTTTTACTTTATGCAGACACGAACAAGAGCTTCTTACAGCTGCTAGTCAGCCCCTCCCTGACGATGATGATGATGCATTTGACTGAGAATGTGGGCCCTACTCTCCAACATATAGATCATATGATTGCGAACTTTTCTTTCATTCGATAAGGATTTTTTGTTTGGTAGATTGTAGTAGAGGGGTTTGGAGGTTTTTGCATGGATTGTGATTTGATTATGGGCTGTGGGAAGATGATTTTTATCTTCTATGTGTTGTTTAGATACACTATTTGTATCCTTTATTAGTTCACATTTACAATTGAGATCTTTTATGTTTTACTACTCTCTCTGATTTCTTTGAAAATACAGATTTATTTGCTATGGGATTTATTTTTGTTTACTATTATTGAAGCATAGAGTAGATAGATTGGCATTTGATAACCACAAACGAAGAAATTGAACTCATAATTGTGAAAATGAAGATCTTATAAAATGTTCCAAATTAGTTATGACACTATTCGTTCCAATATTGTAGGTGTAGGGAAACTTAGTTGTTCAGATACCAAGGAACTTGTTCCATTACAATTCAATAGGAACACGAAAGAAACCAAAACTCGTGTGCCAGAACTTGAAACCAAAAACAAATCCAACTTGAAATTGTAAATTGAAAAACGAAAAACAGAAAAAAGAAAAGGAACATGAAAGAATTGAATCAATACAAAACCGATATGTGGTTTCTGCTTTGTTTATGTCAGTCACCACCCACATCTGAAGTTGTTTTTACACCAAATTCTACTCGTTTAAAATTCAAAACAGGTAAAAGATTTCTGCATGGCATACTTGAATTTAAAAAAGGAGAAAATTAAAACCAAAATGCAATAAACGCAGTCGAACGTCTTCATTTCAGCAGTGTTTTTATCCAATTTAGCCCCAAAAAAACGTTATTCAATCTTCCAAACTTTGTCTGAAGAAAAACCAGGTTTCATAGTTCACTGCATACAACAACATTCACTTGTAAGTAAACCTTCAAACGAAATATCACAGCACATTATATACCTTGAGATAGTTCAACAGAATACTGTACAAGTTCGAGAAACGGGATTAATCAAGCTCTATTACTGAAAGAATTGTACCTCATAAAGCTTTCCGACTCCAGTTTTTCAGGAGTGTTTTGCAGGTGAACCAGTGCAAAGCCTAAAAGTTCTCTGAGTTCATAATAATTTCACTAAGAGGAAAATTGATGCTACATAGAGGAACATTACATAGACTGCAAACACAATGTATTTATATAACACAACACAATGTAAATCTCTGCATGAGTAAATCAATGCATTAAATAGAACTCTGTTCTGCTGCATACGTGACGAGAAAATTAGATTATCCAATCACATGACTCTACGAAAAAGGAAGGATCATAATCATGGCAGAAAGCCCATTACACAAAAATATGACATGAAATACACGAACCGAAAGACGACTTATTAAACATGCAATTTTCATCAGTGATTAACTATAAAAGGAACCTTATCCAGAGCGGCAGCTCTCTTATGTTTTAGCTAATCTTTTGAATGTATCGTCCAAAAGATTATGCCAGGAGAAAGGCACCAAATGCTGCTGGCTGTATCATCTTTAAGCCTTGTAAGCAAATGATGCAAGCCTCCGAATTTGTGGCCCTGGAAAATGCAGGGGAATCAAATATCGATCAATAACTGTTGCAAACAGATTATATGCTTCCAAATGTGCGGGGAGCCAATAAAACTTTTACATGCCCCGTTTCTTAGTAAATCACAAGAAAAACACAATTAGCAGTGCCACTGAAGTTCAATGCCAAAAAAATATTCGATTCATAAAATAATCCAGTAAGGAATCGAGCATTCCATAGCACATACAAAACTTGCATGGATTTTAGTACCTGAAGATACCACACATACCACTTTTCCCTTCAGAAAAAGCTTTTAGGAGGTGGAAGAACAGTGAAGCTGTTTGATATTCTACAAGAGCTGGAATTATAGTAGAAAATAAGTTACGTAAAACACCACAAGCGATACAATAATTTATTTTCGAGAATTTAATTACACATATCGCCTTTGACAAAATAAAAAAAAAAAAAAAAATCCAACTATCTACGCAGAAGCAGATATGATAATTGAGTTACATTAATAACAATGATTTCTCTCCTTACAATGGCTGAAATGGAAAATAAAGAAAAGGGCAAGGTCTAAAAAAGCTACAATATTAAAAATAAAGTGATAAGAGCCTTTCATAATAATACCGTTATCTAACGTTTAAAGCAGTTTTAGCAGAAATTAAGCATTTCACCTCCATCAAATGTTCATCATTTGAAATATGAAGCATAATCCGCAGATTTGTCAGCATTGCTTCCTGTTCCCAACTTAAGGGACCCGAAGCATACAAAGCTTTTAGAGTTCTCCGATATGCCTGCACCTCTAATCTACGTATACTCGCTTCTAACTTCTCTTTTCGACTTTTTTGCTCACTACTTTTTCTCTCAGTACGTTTTCTCTCATACTCCGAAGGGTAACACGACTCTGCATCACTACAAACGGTTTCACTCTCTTGCCATTGAAAGGGTACGGAAGGAATAGGGTTTTTTGGACTGTGATCGGTAACACTACAACTACCAACTGAAGATGTTTCGCTTTCTGAACAGTCGAGGGCATCGTTTGCTTTTGTCCTCTCCATTTCATTATATTGAGTTGATATAATTGTCAACGTGTCTTTTTTCCCCAGAATTTGTTTTGGGTAAGAAACAGCATCTACCTTTTCAAGAACTGGGGTAACAACCACTCTCTGCTTTCGACCATCTTTATCGATTCCTCTTAGTTTTTGGGCATGTCCATTGTGTGCTTCGATGACAGAGGAGCTATAAGGGGATATCCTTTTTAGCGATCTAGAAGAATTCATATGAGATTTTCGATATGCAGCTTTGTTTGGAATGTTCACGTGATCGTTTTGAGGTTGCTTTCTAGCCCTGTCATTAAATTGTGGGATGTGGGAATTTATCTTTTGATAACAGAATGAAGTTGATGGATTGTTAGCTATAGCATCCTCACCTCCATAGAAACTCTGCAAACAACAGGAAATAGGAAATCAGAGATTAGAAAAACAAAAAAAAAAAAAAAAAAAAAAAAAAACAAATATATATATATATATAC